ATGTCATCAATCTTTGTGTTAGACAAACTTGAAAAAGTTTGACTCTCCAAGATTATTGGAATGACTTACAATTTGGGACGGAGGGAGTACTTCAATTCATACTTAAATGCAAAATAGAGCTCCTATCATTTCCTTTTATAAGAAAGAAAAAAGGGTATACTAACCATTATAATCCTCTATGTCTCATGTGTTACCCATCGAAACTCCATGCGCGACACAAGATTTTTACTGCCATTTTTGAGATATTTATATAAGCAAACACCGATCTTCAATATTTGAATTCAATTGTGCCTCACCAATCCTCAATAAAATAGGAAAAAAGCGGGACACGTGCAAAAAAAAAAATGGTTAATAGGGATGAGTGAGTAAATATGACAACATGCACTCACCTTTTTCCGCTGTCATCCCCGTTCAATACATGTACCTGACTCTTCTCCCTTGACCTTTTCATATGTTGACACCAGCTGCTTCCTTATATATTCGTCGAAATGGTGAAGAGGAAGGGGCAAGAGGGGACAAATGTTAAGCCACAAGAGTTCTTTTTGTGTTCCTGTCAGAGAGTAGCATCGAAGAGAGCTTGGTCCCATGCATTTTGATCCCCATCATTTCGGCATTTCCTGTATGCATTTCGAGAATGGGAAGCATAGGGAAAAGGGCCTCACTAAGTGGGTAAGCAGCAATTGGCTGAATCACTACCTTCCATGTGGAAAATTAGGACTGCGTTAGCTTCAGACATGCATGACTGAAGTAACAAATGATAGTCGAGTGTCCCAAATATCCATATCTTGCTTTATCAAGTTCTTTGGTGTGGCACTTTCAGTCTTGTATCCACTATTCAAGGCAGCTAAAAATGTGTTCGCTGTCGCTGTGCGCGATCTTGCCACGGCCAACTAAAGTCCTCGTTCTACTCTGAAAGAGGGGAGTTCATCATAGATAATCTTTCCAGAGAGGGGTAATATCAGAGATATTATCACCGGAGTCATGTGTTTCATTCCAATTTCCAACCGTAGCGTTGCCATAGCCAACTGATCCAAGAGGTAGGATAAGCACAGCAAAATTTGTAGATGAATTTTTCTAGGAGACTTGTGTTTTTGAGTTTTGCTATAAGAATCCGGAACGCCAAGACCACCTTTACTTTCGGGGAGGTAAACATCTTCCCAAGTAACTTTGCATTGCCCTCCTTTACAACCATTTTCACCTTTATTTACGACAAAGTTCACCGCCTGTTATTGCAACCGATGGCATTAAGTCATACAGTATGTATGTTGAACAAAAAAGGTCTTCTGTTTGTTGTGTAGTGTTGATGAAGGCTCAACGGGACACATGGTACAGACGTACGTACAGAACAAGAAATTGGTGGTAAATAAGAAATATTATTATAGGCAATGCTTTTACAACATCCATCAGATCCGTGAAACCTGCAAGATGCAAGGCTTTCATCAGTTTGAAGGTTCTTTTCTACAGTTTTGATGCATATTTCTTTAGAGCATCTCCTGCCCTCTTGTGCTCCTCCGGCAACGGCAGGTTAGACAGCAGCGTGACTCTGGATTCGGCGATCTGAGGCCCCTTCTCTCCTGTTGATGGATCCATCTTCCAGAGCTTTACCTCCCAAACCTTTCCAATCGATTTTTTTTTTCAGAAAGAGTTCAGAAAAAAAGGAACGAGTTGTAGACTTGTAGCAGCAGATCATAGTATGAATATATTCAACAGCAGAACTCTCACAAAAGAAAACATAAAATAAATGTATTACATGCAAAACAAGCACATCATAGAGTTTTGCTTTTGGGCGACGTTTGGTTTGGGAATCAAGTAGGTTGGGATAGCCTCGTTTCAGTTTTTAAAGATGGGATGATTTTATCTACTGCTTAGTTGAGAAGGGACGGAGTTATTTCTGTTTCTTATTTTGTTAGTCGACACTAAACTAAGGATGAGTCACTGACAATGGAGGACTGCAGAGTGCAGAGAGAGAGGGGTCCATCTGGGCAAGCTTGTTTGTTACTACCTTAGATGATTCAGATGTGCCGAGCCTCAATTAGCTATCCTTTATTATGCTAGCCAACTTCCACCAGTACTGTGATTTTGCTTCACTTAATTGCGCTAGCAAACAACCGGTGGTTAGTGCAATCGTGTGGAATCTACGTTGTAAGGAACATGGTTCAGCGCTGCCTATGCCTTGCTCGCTAGTTCATTTGTTGCGCCCTACCTAAGGCGTGGTGGACAAATCATACCAAACACGTCCTTCGACTTTTTATCCATTCTAAGGATTTTATTACTCATCCATGTGATTTATCACGGAATCCTTTTTTTTTCATTTAGTTAAGGTCACCGGACACTGACCATCGTCGCTATGGGTAGTGTCTAGTTGGAGACTGGAGAATGAGGTAGGATAGGATGACCCTCTCCCTGTTTTTAGTGTTTTTGTTAAAGATGCGATAGTCGCATCACTATTTTCAAGAATAGGATGGCTCCATCTCCCATCCCACGCTCGGTACTCTCCGTCCATTCTCATGTCTCAAAGTGGATAGCTGCATTTCAGAAATTATGGCATGAACTGTCTGTAGAAATAACCAAAAAAAAATGTAATGCATATCCCATTACGGATAAGCCAAACACACCCAAGCCACGAGCCCAGGACAGTGAAACTCGGTAACGATTAACGAAAGAAACAAGCGCACGGAAGACCAAATCTCGTTTCAGATAGCATCACTACTGAAAGCAAAATCGAACGGACAACGCGATCCGTGCTTGCAGTTGAAGTGGTTTGTGGCAAAGATCGATAACTTACAACTAACCACCACCGGCTTGTAACCTTGTTGTTTAGCGCCGGAACCAGCCGGCTGCCGCCATGGCGTCGTCCATGGCGTCACCTGCCGCGGGGTATTTGGGTTGTGCGGCTAGGACTGGGTGAAGGGACTTGTTGGTGTGGACGGGCCTGAAGACCGGCCGAGACTGACCGACGATCAGATCGGGATTGGTGGCTCCGCACGCAGACCGCCGCCGGCACCAATGACCATCCCCTGATCCCAGCCGTGTGGGCTCCTCTGTCCTCTCCGGTCACGGTCGTCTTCGACTTTCTTGGTGCATTCAGATAGTGCCAGTAGATCTTTTCCATTTTTTAGATGACCCGAAATACTAGTAGTAGTGTTTCACTCCAAACATGGTCAGGTACTCAGGTCACCAACGCTCTGGCGCATTGCTACTCCGAATTGAATGGCTGGGACCGCGGTCCCGCGGCTGAGACAGCGACCTTGCCGGTGGCCCAACAGTGCGCCGCCATGGTGGACCACGCATGTTCTCGGAGCCCCGGTTCGGACCGGTTAGTGCTGCGTCCCGTGATGCACGGGCAGATCAGCTAGCCGCTACTGCCCTGTCCTGCTCACCGTGTGCACGTTCAGTTGCGTCGCATTGCTGTTGGAAGGGCGGAAGATTATATTTCAAATCCTTGCTACTGCTACTCTAGTGTCTAGAGACGTGGACAGCCGGTGAAAACGGAAGGGAGCCGGCCAGCGGCTGCCCAGTCCAGGTCCAATCCAATCCGCCTCCCGCTGAAGCGTTGACGCGGCAAGCCCGCGACACCTCCTGGTTCCAGGCTTTCAGTCCTCCTTCCCTTTTTTTTCTTTCAAAAAGGTACTCCCTCCAAATTTCAAACCCTTTCTGTTCCCCTCCATGGTTAGTTGGGATGGGGCGAGAATGAGCATAACATTTGGCTAAGACCAAAGCTCTGAATAAAACTTGTCATATCGAAGTGAGAAAATAACGCCGTTACTCAAAGCAGGGAATGAATGCTCTGAGGACCTGTGCTGCTGGCTCTTCACTCTCTTTTGTTTTCCTCTCTCTCTCTCGCATCGTCCTTCTCCCTCTCTAATTTGAGCGGATTTGGCTAGTCAAGTTCGAGATTTTGTTGTGTGTCCGTGCTTCGATTGATAGGTTCTGCTCGACACCATTATTCGTCACGCCTTTTCGTGTCCAATCTGAAGGATTGGATATGGTTTGAGCTTCAATGTTTTGTTTACAAGTTCTGAAGTTCCTTTTTATTTTCTGTTTGAGTGGATTTCTGGGAACGAATGAAAGAGGTTTGAGCACCACCAATCACACTCTGGTTCAGTTCTCACGTGACATTCACCCCTTGATATATAGCCAAATAAGCCCTTAGGGTTTTGCCATCTCCATTCCCCACTACACTAGCCCAAAGACTTAGGCCATGTTTGACTGCTGCCTTGACAAATTCTGGCTACCAGACACTCAAAACCAGTGCCCTAGATTACTATTTGGCCAAGTAACCAAACTATTGCCGTCTGGCTTTCCCACCAAGCACTATTGGTAACTGATGCTCTACCTAGACCTGACGGCATATGTATGCTGCTAGTTAGAAATAAAAGATTTAGTCAATTGAAGAGGAGCATAGCTATATATTTTTCTTAAGAAAGTGTATGTTGATGTTTGTTCTTTTCATTAAGAGGTAAATCACCGAAAAACATTAACCATCGCCATCACAAAGTGTTGTATGTGGACAACAAACCACCAAAGTCTCCATCTCTTTTTTTTTTTATTTACAAGGTGTAATGTATTTTGAGATAAAAATTAAAGTATTTCAAAGAGTTTTTCATTGTGGGATATGACTTTAGCACAACTAGATTCATATTTGAAATCCCTTTCATATGCAATAGGTTTTATAGTCATGAACGATATAATATAGGTGATTCTGTTTTACAGTGTTTTAATTAAATATGCCAAACGGCATCTTATATATTTTGATAAAATATAGGGAGTGCTAAAGTAAAGAAATCTCCTATCTCAAAATCAGAAAACAGAAAATGAAATCTCTAACGAATATATAGTTTATTATCAAATTAAATTTAACGGAATCCACACGGTCCGTGCGGTGATGAGCACGGCCACGCAATCGAAATTAACAGAGATAGAACTAGAGGGTGTTTGATCCCATGACTAAACTAAAAGTTAATTAGTTCTGGGTTTTATATGCTAAATGCTAGTAAAAGCTAACGGGCATCAACGCTCCAAACCCACTCTGGGTTCACCGATCGTGCGGGGAGCAGTTGTGAGGCGTGGTCGAGATGGCCGGCGATGGTCGTAAAGGGGGATGATGCAATCATGGATGATGGAAGGGAAAACCAAGGGCGGCGGACCTGGGTGGAGCGTCCGACGTGGACGGGGACGGCCTGCGCGAGGACGGTGTCGCCGAGGGCCGCGCTGCGGAAGTGGTTGATGCTGAGCTGCACGCCGGCGACGCGGCTGTACCCCGACGCCATGTGCGCGCCCATGCTCGCCAGCGCCTCTGCCACCAGCGCCGACACGCCGCCGTGCAGCACCTTGAACGGCTGGATCATATTATATATCAGCGCGAGGTTGCCGTGTCGATGTTAGCTTATTAAACTCGCTCGCCGCGAGGAGGAAAGGGAAGACTTCTAGCAAGCACCAAAGCAGGAGTACTAGCCTGGCAGCAGATGCGAGTGACGGGGAGGCGGCCGGTGAGCCGCGACGGGGAGAGCTCCTCCATCTCGAACCCGAGGGCGTGCAGCGGCGCGTCCAGCTCCGCCATCATGGCCCTGGAATCCTTCGTCGTCGTCAGCGAGGCCGGCTGCTGCTGGCGCTGCCGCGATGCGACCGTGGCGTCGTCCATGGCAAGACCTGCCCGCGCGCGGGGTAGTTGGGCGAGCGCACGCAGCTGGGGAAAGTTTGTGCGTGGAATGGAAGGTGGAAAGTTTGGGCTTTTGCACTCTCGGTCTCGGTTCGGTATCTGTCTGACCGACGACGATCAGGCAGGCGATTGGGATCGGCAGGTGAGTCGTTTTGCATTAATTAATGCTCGGTTCCTCACTATTACCTCCGGAGGCCGCAGCCTGCACCAACCCCGGCTGCTGACCATGTGGGCTCCTGATCGACAGTGACTAGCCAAACCTTTGAGCCCATGGGTCGGGGCCTTTGTACAAGCCAGCCCGCGACATCAATTAGACGGTAGGGCTCACTGAAGCCTGCAAATCCCTTTAGGCCTAGGTGAAGCCCCTGAAGCCTGCAAATCACTTTAGGCCTAGGTGGCTCCGTGGGTACAGGGAGCTAGCTTAACTGGGCCAGTTTTACTCAGGTATTGAGGCTGAGATAGGCCCAAATTGCGTGCGTGCGCGCCCCACCGTCAGCACAAGCCGGAGCACCTGCTTCCCACCAGGCGGAGTGGCCGCCGCGCAGCCAATTTCAAATCCTGCAAACATGCAGGGCCGGTAAAAACGGAACGGAGCCGGCCGCCTAGATCCGATCCACCTCCGCCTCCTGCGGCCGAGGCATTTATATATTTACCACTATTATTACGGATATCTTATACTATGTCACTGACACGAGTTACTGATATAATATTTTTTATACCATTTTTATCGTAACTCCCATCGTAATAATAGTAAATATATAAATATTCCTCTGCGGCCGCGCCGCACCACCTCCTCCGCCCTCACTCCCCCTCCTCCCAGGTAAATCCTCCCAAATTTCAAATCCTTCTCGTTCCCCCTCCACTCCACGCTAGGGTTTCGCCATCCCCATTCCTCACTGCCAGCAGAACCGAGCCTTGGATCGGCGCCGCAATTGCTCGCTCCGTCCATGCCGAGCCCCTAGCCTCCTGACCCCTCCATGTCCCGTTCATTCTTCCCGACCTGCTCCTCCCTGAAAGGTGCCCGCCGCCCGCCCGCCTCTGCAGCGCGATTTGGTTAATTTGCTTGGGTCTTGTGTTGACGTTTTCCTCTGATTTTGTTTCGGCAGCGGAAATGGAGGAGATGAGCAAGGAGCTGGACGACCTGCGGGCCGAGGTGGAGGCGCTCACCGCCCAGCTCCGAGCCAAGTCCGACCTCGCCGACGGCCTCAAGCGCGCGGGCGCGGACCAGGCCGCGCGGCTGCGGGATGCCCGGGCGGAGGCGGAACGCAATGCGGCGGAGGCCGCGGCCATGGCCGAGGAGGCGGCCGCCACCGGGGATCGGTGCGGGGTGCTGGAGTCCAGGCTGGCCGAGAAGGAGCAGGCGCTGAGGCACCTCTGCGCGGCGCACGAGGCGCTCAAGGGCACGCTCCGGGAGAAGATCGAGGGCCTCGAGGGCGACAAGAAGGGCCTCCTCGCGGCGCTCGAGGACGCCGAGGGGAGGCGCGTGGAGCACGATGCCGCCCTGCGCGCGCGCGACGACGAGGTCGCGCGGGAGCTGGGGGCTCCTGTCAGAGAAGGACAGGAGGTGCGGCGAGGTTGAGAAGAGGGCGTTGGCGCCCAGGGAGGTGGTGATGAGGGACGACATGCTGGTGAAGCTGGAGGAGGAGAAGGCCGCCGTCGAGGGCAAGCTCAAGTGGAAGGCTGAGCAGTTCAGGCACCTCGAGGAGGCACTCAAGAAGGTTCAAGATGACTTCAGGGCTGCCAAGAAGGAGTGGGGCTCAGATAGATCAACTTTGGTTAATCGGATTGGCACACTTGAGGCTGATTTGGATTCCAAGACCAGGGTTGCGGAGGATTTCCGGTCGAGGCTTGATATGTGCAGCCAGGCATTGGCCCATGAGGAAGGTCGCAGGAAGCGGGTGGAAGCAGAGATGTCTGAGTTGCGCCACATGTATGGCAATGTGGTCTCTGAATATGAAGGGGCCAAATCAATGGTCGAGTCGTTGAGCTCCAACACGGATGGGGAGATAGCATCTTTGAGAAGCTCACTGGCTGAGAAGGCTACATTACTCAAAGAAATGGGATACAGGAAGACACATCTTGAACAAGAAAATGAGGATTTACGGTCAAGGCTCAAGGAGTATCAGGAGGCACAGATTGGTGGTGCAGATGCTGTTGTTTCATTGAAAAGTCTGCGGGAGAAGCTCCGAGCCTTGGAGCAGACACATAGAAGTTGCACTGAGAAGCTACGAGGTAAGGAAGAAGAATGGAGATTGCAGATGGCAAAGCTTGTGAATGACTTGGATGGACGCTTATCACAGTTAGAATCCAAAGATATTCTTATTGGGCAACTGCAGAATGAGTTGCTGGGTAGTTATGGGTCCCTTGAGCTACAAATAGTGGAGAACTGGGAAGCTTTGATAATTCTTACTGTTGTGCAGGCAAAATTTCATGAGCCCTGCTCATTTGTTGATACTGCTCAACTGAATATGCAGCATCATTGTGAAGAAATTGAGAAGGAAATTGCTTCTGCCAAGAAACAGTTAGAAGAACAATCTTGCACTATTGTCCAGTCTCAAGCTGAACAGAAACAACAATCTGAGGTTATAGCAAAATTGTATGCAAGAATCAAGGAGTTAGAACACATGGAACAAGAACAAAAGAAGATGCAAAGGCAGCTTGATGCGTACATAAAGAGATGCTGGAGAACACATCAAGAGATGCTCACTGCCTAAAAGATGAAGCTTCAAAGAAGGAAAGCACCCTGCAGGAGAAATTGAGGGAGGCATTAAGTGCTCTTGATGAAGCAAACTGTGCCCTTGCTAACAGGAAGACTGAGCTGAGCCAGTTAGAAATCAATCTCCATCATCAAAAGCAAGCAATTGAGCATTTGGAAAAACTGAAAATTGATTTGGAAACTGAAGTCGAAAGCTATATGTATGACAACCGTATCCTGAAGAGAGATCTGGATGCTGCTCTTGTTGCCAAAATGGAAGCTGAGGATTTCCTTAGACAAGAAAAGATGAAGTTAATATGTGCTCTCGATGAGGCAAAATATACCCTTTCTGAGAGGAACAGTGAGCTGACCCAGTTCGAGAACAATTTTAATCAGCAAAGGCAAGCACTGGAGAATTTAGAGAAGGTGAAGGTAGATATGGAAACTGAACTCAAAACATGTATGGATGAAAATTGTGTACTGAAGAGAGATTTGGATGTTGAAATTATTGCCAAAATGGACGCTGAGGAGTGTCATACAAAAGAAAAGGAGGAGCTATGTGGTATAATTAACGAGAAAGGAATGATGATGGATAAGCTTCAGCAATACATCACAGCGCTCGAAGAAGAAAACATTGGCCAGAAACTTGATTTGGGAAGTCTTATCAAGATGGAGTATGAGAAGTCCATTCACGAAGTGAAGAACAGGTACTCTGAAATTGTTGAGGTCTCTGACAAAAAACTTTTGGAGCTGGAAGAAAGCCTTAGATTCTTTGAGCAGAAATTTGCATGCAGGGAGCAGGAGCTCATGAAAATGTTTGATCAAGAGGAAGCAGATTGGTATACACTAATTGCAGAGAAAGAAATTGCTATTTCTGATATTCGACAAACTGTTGAATCTGTTCAGCTTGACATCAAGCACCTTCTTGAGGCTGCAGCAGCAAAAGTGGCAGAAGTTCAGCTAGAGGTGAATCAGCTTTATGGTTTTGCAGAAACTCTGAATTCACTTAACGTCATCCAAGAGCATGATACTGTTTTCAAGGATATGCTCATTGCAGAGTGCGAAAGAGAACTTGACTCCCTGCTGGTGAATTTAGTGCAAGAGAAGCATCAGTCAAGAAATTTGAAGAATCTTATTGAACAGCTGAAAGCTCAAACTGCTTCAGAAATGTCAGAAAAGGCAAAGGAGCATCTAGAAGTTACAACTAAGCTGAAATCATTGGAGGAAAGAAATGAAACATTAGATGAGCATCTGCGAGAGCTAAAGTCTAGAGCAACTGATATGTCTAATGTTGTACTACAAGAGAGGAATCAGTTGGTCGATGAGCTGACTGGACTAACCAATATCATTGGGGAGGTAATTTATGGAGGTGAAAGTATGATGTCAAATTTGAGAAGGATCATGCAGAAAGTTAATGAGGAGGAACCATGCAATGACAGGCTTACCTCAGAAAAAACTAATGGTAGAAGTTATGCACCTTTGATCAGGAACAAATCAGGGCATGTCCTAGATAGAAGGTCGCCTCTGAAGGAGCACAACTACTAGCCTTAGCATAGGTCGGATCGTGTACTGACATTGCTGTAACAGTTGCTGTAACAGTTGTACTCTGTTTTCCAAGAATCCATGACACGCCGCCGGTAGGGCTGTGCCTTTTCATTTCCTTACCCAGTGCCATCTGTGTTATGTTATTTAAACACAGTGGCTGTATTACCCAACACTTATTTTATGGATTGAATTTGAATAACATAGTTTCCCAAGTGTTGAATGAAATGAAGCCTATGGTGTTTGCTGCCACTTCATTGTTCTGGACAGTGCACAGTTGGATTCTAGTATGATTTAGCTTCACTAGTTACATGCTGTCATGCTGCTATCCCTTGTGTTCTTGTTTCCAATCTGAATCTCTGATTATGCAATTGTTTTATGGATGTCATTAAGGCTATAATAAATGGATACTTCCACTCTGGCTTTGACAAATTAATCTGTATTTACAGATTTCTGAGTACTTGAACGAAATAGGGAACCATTCTTTTTGGTTGAGGCTAACAAATAAACCACAAATCGTCCAAAGTAAACTTTGGATGGATAAATAGATGACATTACATTTCAGAAATTTTTACAGCTTATACAGTCTACTCCTAGCAAATGATGATGACATTATTGTCACCGTAATCTAAACCCTAATAGCAAAGACTCGCTCTGTTGCCTTCGCCGCTGGCATCCAAGGAGGAGCTACTTTCTTAGACATGTAGGGCAGTGCGCACACCGGCTGTGCTGCCGTCGGCGCAGGCGCTCACACGTTGCGGCGCTGGTAGGAGCTGCAGCACTGCTGGTTGCAACGGTGGTGAAAAGACGGCTGCAAGCGGATGGCCCCTGCGAACTCCTGCGTGCTCTGGACGCATCGCATCGCCTGTTGCTGGTGTGCGCGCACGGCGAGAGCTTGCTCGCTCTGCGCCCGCCGCATCTCCAGCGGCAGGGGTGGAAGTCCGGCCGCCGATCTCCGCCTGCAGACAACGCCGCCGCCGGAGCCAGCGTGAGGGGTGGTCGTCACGAAAACACGGAACGTCGCGGCCGGCCGCGTAGCCCGCAGGCGGTCGTACTCGTCGCGCATGTGCGCGAGCTCCTCGTCGCACGTGACCGACACGATCACGTCCTGGACACCCTCGTCGGCGAGGCGGTGCCTGATCGCGCGTACCTCCGCGCCGCCGGCCATCTCCGACAGCCGCGCCGTCATGTCGGGGAAGGTCGCCGCGCGCGGCACGACGAGGACGAGCGTCTCGCCGCCGACGTACCTCAGTGCCCCGTCGGGGCCGCGGGGCAGGAAGCGGCCGCCGTGGCTGCACATCAACCTCGTGCGCGCGTCGCTGGCGTCGCAGGGCGCCTCTGCCGCAGCCATGGGGTCGTCGGTCGGGTGGGACAGTGGAGTGGATGATGCGGCTTGTTGAGTCATGAGTTTATAACCCCGCCGTGGCGCTATTGACCCGTGAGCGAAGATTACGCGATCGAATTGGACTCGAAGACCTGATCGAGGTGGACGGTAGTTGCCGGTGCCGTTCGCGGGACGAGATTCTTCAGCAGGCTATTGGGCTCGGAACACTTCTTCAATTGACTGTCGGAATCAATTCCAACAATAGATCTCATCCATTGAAACGCCAACACGTGGTTCGCTGACAGGTTACAGGAGGAGAGACGCTTTTAGGCACATCAGGAGCAGAAATGGTTGGGATTCACTCCCCATTTGTACAAGAAGATATTTCGCGCGTTGCAACGGAGATTAAAAAAAATAAAATTAAGTGAAGATAATATGGATAGCTTACACTAAGATGACGTTTGATTCAATGAAATGTAACGCAATCTATTTACTTGGGGGACTAGATAACGACGTTTGGTTCGATTCGTCTGTTGTGCAATACCACATAATGAGATATCGTGCTATTCATCAGTGATACCGCTCGTCTCTGAGCCTTATTTTATTGCGCTGCAGCCGTCTCTCCGTATCGGCCTCGTTCGCATGCTCTTAAACCTGACTTGATTCGTTTTTTTTTTTTCATCCGGAACAATATTTTTCTCTCATAAATTCCTTTAGTATTCCTCCAAATCATCTAAATTCCTCCAGAATTCCTCCAAGCGAACAAGCCCATTACCATTACGACATCGAACCAATCAAAGTCAGCAATCATCGGTCCCACCGGCTAAACCCACGTGAGCTGATTTCATTTGCGGTTAAAGGATGAACCAAACACCATGTAAGAAGTTGAAAATTACTGGGACGAGAGGACTATTAGTCGTTTTGCTTGTACAGAACCGTCTTTCCTATTTTAATCAATCGGCCTGTTCGCTGGTTGCTTTTTGACTGGTTTGGGCTGGCTGGTGCTGGTTTATTGTGAAAGTAAAACACTATTGGTTGGCTGGTTTAGGCTGGCTGAAACCAACAAGCGAACATGCTGAATTTCAATAGGGGGCAAAAACCCCTCTTGTTCGTTTAAGAAAAAAATAGGGCTATTAGTAAGAGATGATGTGCATGACTTGCATGTTAAGATATATTTGTAGTGCGAATTAGCTTTATAAAAGATATAGATAGGTAAAGCTTTAGTTTGTATCAAATTGCACTGACCCAATGGTACTACTACTAACAGTAGATAAGTATTCTCTATGTTCCAGAATAGAGGTGGTTTTAGTTTTGTTTAACTTAAACTTCTCTAACTTTTATCAAATTTATAGAAAACCATAGTGATATCTACCAAATAAATACATAGACATGTTAGTAACATCTACCAAATAAATAAATAAATCCAAACATGCTTTATGGTAAACAAAATTATAAAAGTTGAATTTAGACAAAACTACAAGGACCTATATTTTAAAATAGAGAGGGTGCTTATATATTCGAAAATGTAGAGATATGCCTCTACTTGTACCACAATGCACAAGAACAAATTCTTGGACATTGGAAACTTTCTAAAGAACTTGTCATTGAAAATGGGAGGATCAACGAGTAATCCACAACAATACGCAAATTTCCCTCATGGAGGTCCCTTGGAACCACTTGTCGCTCATGAATTGATCCTCGTGGAACCCTCTTTTGCTTTATCCATTCAAGGTCAGCAACATATGCAACGATTCCTCCTCGTCCCACTATTTCTCATTAAATCCTCATCATCTAAGATTTTTTTTCTCGAACGTGCATTAACACGATATTCATTAAGCAGGAGTAGAAAGTTCAATGAAAAATACAAACTGAAGCAGCAGTAATCTACTGATTACTGAGGTTTCACGGCCCTGCGGCAGCACGTGATTGTGATTTACATGTTAAAATTTTTTGCGACAGTTGAGCCACCGATCCTAGAGAATCGCTAATAGCAACCGTAGTTGCTTGTAACCTGCTAAACACCATTCAATTGTGTCTTCTTGAACCTTGAGCGCCAAGCTTGCCGGGCTGTGGAGACACCATTGAAATTCCTCGCATTCTCTCTCCTTCCAGAAGGCCCATCCGAAGAGGAAGAAGAGTGACTCAAAGCCCTTCCGCACTTGCTTATCGACAAGCTTCTGCCGCGCAGCCACCACTCGAGCACCTTCTCCTCCTCAGACGAGCATTTGGGAAACAAAGTCACTAACAACATTGATGTACCGCAGACCAATCAGCCCACGCACATTCCAAACGTAGCAGTTGTCTGTTATCATTGAACAACAATTTGCGACTGAACAGTGTAACAACCCAGAAATCCACACACCAAAAATCACAACTACAAAATTTTTCTTAAAACTCCCATGTGATGATGAGTGACATTGTAGGAGCCAACCCTAAGAGTTGCATTAGAAGTAACCCAACCTAAGTCAACACATAAGCATGGCATATCATTTGTTGATTATGATTATTAAATTTCCAACAAATAACATGTTGCATACATTGTTAATTCAAGTTGTGAATTGATTTCCATTTGCTTTATGTTATGCCTAACAATTCCATTAAAATAATAAATCATAAAGTTATTATTAAACAAAATTCTCTAAACTCCAATAAATAATTTACCTCAGTTTTGAATTCAAATTCTAAACCAAATTTGAAATTCAAACAATGGAAAAGAAATGTAAAACAGAAAAAGAAAAATGAAGAAGAAGGCCTCATGGCTCGACCTGTTTTCGCCCAAGGCCCCGGCCACCAACCTCAACCACCACAAGACGCTGCCCAAAGAAGCCGGCCCAAGAGGGCCGCTCGCCCACGCACCGCCAGCCCCATGATGGTCGCCGCCACATTGGCCCGTAGCGTCCGCCACGCGCCCGCGCCAGCGCTTATCGGCTTCGCCCATGCCACGCTAACGGACCCTTTGTCGCCGCACATCAGTGCTTCTTCCCCACGCCAAACCAAACCACATGACACAGAGCCCCGACAAGAATGGCAGGGGTGGGCTGTGGGTCATGCTCGGGGCATGGACTGTCTCCCCCCTTGGCGTCGCGCCCACGCAACCCTCGTGATCAGAGAATGCAAGCAAGCGCCGTGATTGCCCTTGATCCTCGTCCTCCCGATCACCGAGCTCCATGGCCGAGTTTCGGCTATAAAGGCCACGGTCCCTCGGAGCCCTAGCGCCATTTCGTGTTCGCCGCCACCTCGGTAGCCATCCACTACGCACCCAAACCTAGAGAGAAGAGGGAGAAGAGGAAGAAGGGGAAAGAACGCAAAGGTCAGCCGAGGGGAGGAGATCGCCGAGCCGGGAGCGACGCCATCGGCTACATCACCGACGCGGGTCGGCACGGCACTGCACGGCTTCCGGAGCTACACGGCCTCGAATTGACACTGCACCGCCATCCTATCTCCCACAACACCTACGGTGAGCCTTCGATCCCTCTCTCGCCGTCGAACCTCACCGCCGCCATGGCGCTCCACACGGAAGCGCCGAGGCGGTGCCTTGCCTCAACCACTTGGAACACATGCACCCACGTGCGCACCGAGATCACCGTGACACCCCACCGGAGCCCATAGCGCACCAACGTGCGCATCACCGTCGACGCCGCCGCCATGGCACACCAGACCACCTTCGAGCATTAGACCA